TTTGTATTTATTTTCTCCCCCTCTCATTTGTGAGTATTTCCAATTTCCCACCTCATTTAGTGGATTCTGTGATGTTGCACCAAGCTTTATAATGCAGAAGAAGAATTTTGCAATTACAAGTTGCACCCCACAGATTTCTGTTTTTATTTATTTTTCATAAAAAAGAGGGCAGTAATTTATGCTCAAAACATGAAGGACACAAAAAGGTTGTACCATTGAGTAATTTATTTATGTAGCATTATATTACTGTTAAGTCCTCTATATTATGACACTGTGCCCCAGTACTTAACCGAATTTGCAAAACGAGTCAGGCATCACCATTGAATACAAGCTTCAAGCAAATTTGTAAGTTTTAACAGTATAACAGAGCATTTTTTTTTTCTGGTAATTAGGCAAAACCTCATGAATAAGCTTCAAGATTAGCCTTAACAGATTATCTTCACATCATAATTACGAAAATGCTACAATACCGTTACGGAACCATTCCGTTGGGATTTATAGCCGTTGGATACACATGCTACACTAATATAGATGAACATCTAACGATTACAAATTCCAATGGAATGATTAGGTAACGGGACTGTAGTCTTACCCATTACGGAAAATGCTACTGATCGTTCGGCTAAATGATTCGACTAACCTACTGTTCAGAGATTCGTACTCAATAACTCTTCGTAACAAGAGGACATACGTGAACGGCAAATTAATGATTCATTTAACACATAGACAATACAGTTACGACCAAGCCTAGCTTATACGAGCCTATTTCGACCAACTCCTCCCACTTTTGGTTCTAAGAGTCGATAAATATAGACTAGAGAGTAGTTAACAGACTAATCAATTAGAATCACCAACATCATGCTCGAATAAATCGAAAGAAAAAGATTTATTTTTATTGATATGTACAGATAAACAAGTGATTCATTTTACATTGACGAGATAGCTTTAAGGGTATGAATAGAAGCAGCAAAAGCAGCGACAACAGCGCCTGAAGCAGCTGGAGTGAAAATACCGAAAAGGGCCTCTCCGATTTGCCGGATTTGAGGAGGGATTTGGGGCAGTTTGGGAAATTTCCATTGGAGCTAGGGCTTTGCTGATAGCTTCGGGTGCGAAGGAAAGAGAGATGATGGCCTGTGCTTGCGAGAAGCTAATAAGCTTAAAGCCGCACTAAGTTGCAGACACGCTTTTTGTTATCTCAAAAAGTTTATTCCGTGAGGCAACTATCTTTTGATAATACACAAGAAGCTCAATTGTAGATTAAATTAGATTTTTTTTTTTTTAATTAGCAATTTAATTGATAGTACAAACCTTTTTATTTTGGCTATCAAAGTCACCATCTTTCCATTTTTTTGTTTCATTAGTAATTTGATGATTGATACACCTCACATTAATTAAAAAAAAAAAAAATAGTTGGGACATTTGAGAATCCGATTTGTATCGGGAGTGAGTGTCAATATATTCGAATGTCTCATCAACGAGGGAATTTAGATCGAACACAATATGAAACAATAGAATTTCATATTAGTAATTTAGTGCTGTAAAACTGTGCGTTAACGAAAATTTGCCCGACAAAGATAACGAGAAAAAAAAAAATCATTGCTGGCTAGCGAAACAAGCTCACACTACTCAAACCAGTCGATCAAAAACTCGAACCATCGCCATTACAATCAATCAGCCAAAAACATGTCAATCTATAAGGTGGCCATCACAATTTGACAGGAAAGTATGATTAATGTTGTGTGGACCAACATTTGATATCATAATCAACATACTGTGGACCAAATTGATATAGGCTAATGGCAATAAACATTGACTTCAAAGTCCCCGGTCTTTGTAATGCATTCGACAAAATTTTTGGCTCGACACTAAAAGGTCTATGACGCTGGACCACCTTCACTTGAATTTTCTCACCACGTGGAAAGAAGTTTTTGGACAGAGGTCTGAACTAATGCCCCCAAGTCCACATAAATTAATCAGTCTCTTCTCCCCAAGAAAATAAGGCAAAATCTTATGTCAATGTCCTCTTTGTGGCTATATATGTTTGTGTGCCAACTGCCTATGATATGAATCAACTCAATCACCTGCCCAAAAAAACAAAAAAATGGAGAATAATTATACTTTCTTCAGCTTCTCTACTCTGCTAATTATAATACTCAGCACCATTGACAACAATAAAACTTACTTAGCCGCCACAACCGACAAAAACGCACTCGTCAAATTCAAAACTTCCATCACCTCCGATCCTTACCGTCTCTTGGACACAAACTGGTCGACCGACACAAATTCATCCGTTTGTCAATGGATTGGTGTTTCGTGCGGCACCAAACACAATAACAGAGTCACGGGCCTTAACATTTCCAGTTTTGGCCTCGGAGGAACTCTGTCCCCACATCTTGGGAACTTGACGTTTTTAAGATACTTAGACATCAGTTATAATACTTTCGCAGGGCCCATACCCAGTGAGCTGTCTCGTCTGAGCCGCCTGAGGTCTATATACCTTTCTAGTAACAACTTGACAGGTACACCATTTTTGTTACTTGCATAGTCAATTCATCCTTTAATCATCAACACAGACAAAAAATGAAATGAAACCAACCTAATATTCCAAAACATGTTCTATGATTTTTGCTTTTTTTTTTCTTAAATAAATGAGAATAACAATGAACATACATCAAAACCATGAGTGATATAATGTTATGCTATTTTTACTTAAAACGAGGAAATATTTGGTTCGAGTTACATAAGATATTGCTCAAATTTTCTATGATATAATAAAATCTAATAATTTGCAGGCTCCATACCCCAAGAGCTGTCCCGTTTGCAAGGCCTGCAAATGCTATTTTTAGATAACAACCAGTTAACGGGCTCCATTCCACGTGGCATCTTTAGTCTTCCATCCATTAGAATGATGAGGATTTCGAACAATTACCTCTCGGGTGTGCTTCCAAGTGACGATATGTGCAACAATCTCCCCAACCTCACTAAGCTTTCCGTGTCGTTCAATCAACTGGAGGGCCGAATTCCACCAAATATAGGCAACTGCACAAAGCTTGAGATCTTGGGGTTATCCATTAACCGTTTCAATGGGGAAATCCCAAGTGAAATTGCAAGTTTGAGCATGCTTAGGGAGTTGTACCTGGGCTATAACAACTTTAAAGGTATGTGTGTGTGTGTGTGTGTGTATATATATATATATAACACAACAGAAAATGTGCCTGCGTTATTGTAATTGGCAAAACCATTTTCAGGAGGAATCCCACCAGAATTTGGAAACCTTTCACGGCTACAGATATTAAGCATCCCCAATGCTTCTCTCACAGGAAAGTAACATTCTATTATCCTTTTCACATTTATTATTATCAACACATTATTTCATCATGTTTTTGTTTACATAATTTACAGGGTCAATACCAAAACAGATTGGAAATTGTACTACCTTGAAAAAATTATTCCTTTTTGACAACTATTTGACAGGTATGAGCTATTTTTGTTTGATTTCATGCTAATTCACCATTTATTTAGCATCTGATATAATAATTATAACCATTGACATATTTATGGTCTTAGCATTCACTATAATTGCCCCAAGTCTAATAAGAACTTATAATTGCACAAATACATTTTTTTTTTCTTGTTTTGTTAGATTGGAGAGTGATATGTGTTTCCAATCTAAGAATATATAAGTTCATGTAACAATGGCAATTCATTCATGTAACAATGGCAAAAAAAACTGAAGAATTAATCCGGAAGGATATATAAGAATCCTATATATTACAGTCATAATAGATTCAGATTTATAATTATTATAATTATAATCTTATCATGAAAAATATATTGAACATAAAAGTATTATAATTTGTTCAAATTTTTATAAACCATTTATGATTTGTAATAGTATAGAATAAACATAATTAGGTCTATTCATACTGATAGTTACAGATAAATAGATAGAGAGTCCATTTATGTTGGTTCTTACTACTTCATGAAGCCCTGAAGAGATGGTTGTGATGTACAACAACAGGTAATTTACCACAAGAGCTGAATAAGTTGGCATTCCTTGAGGAATTAAACGTAGACAACAATCACTTGTCAGGTCCAATCCCAAGATGGATCTTCAACATATCAACTTTGAAGATTTTAAGTCTTTCAGTTAATCGTTTCTATGGAATTCTTCCCCTCTCTCCCGAGCTCTCTCTTCCAAATCTCAAAGAATTGTATTTGTGGAGCAATGAACTCAATGGGGAGATTCCGATTTCTATCACCAATGCTTCTAATTTATATAGATTGGAATTGTCAAATAACTCGTTCAGTGGCACCATACCCAACTTGGGCAGCTTAAGGCTCTTACGTACGCTATACATTTGGGGTAATTCTCTAAGTGGATTAGGATTAATCTCTTCATTAGCTAATTGCCAGTTTTTGGAGCATTTAGTGATTTCGTTCAACCCACTTAACGGCGTCCTCCCTGATTCCATTGGGAATTTATCAAAATCTCTTACATTCTTTGGGGCACATGGCTGCAACATTAATGGAGGTATTCCTTCTACCATCGGAAACCTGATTGGTCTGCAACTTTTAGACTTATCAGAAAATCAGATCACAGGAGTTATCCCTCCAACAATAGAGAAATTAAATCGGCTTCAAAGATTAGTTCTTTATGTCAATCAACTGCATGGGTTTATCCCTCCAAATATTTGTGGGATGAGTAATATAGGTGAATTGTACCTTGAAGAAAATAACCTCACAGGTCCCATACCTGAATGCTTCGGTGAGCTTAAATCTCTAAGAAATGTCTACTTAGGTTCCAACAAGTTGAATTCCAGCATACCTCTAAACTTTTGGAATTTGAAGGACCTTTTGTTTCTCAACTTGTCCTCAAACGGTTTGAGTGGTCAACTTCCATATGAAATTGCAGGTTTGAGACAAATAAATCAACTAGATTTGTCCCATAATCAATTTTCAGGAGACATTCCTAGATCGATTGATGGTTGCGAATCATTAACATCTCTAGATTTATCGGACAACAAATTTGAAAGATCCATTCCTCCATCACTGGGGAATATCAGAGCCTTGAGGGCATTGAATTTATCTAATAACAATCTTTCGGGGCCGATCCCGGAGTCCTTAGAGGGCCTCAAATTCCTTCAATACTTTAATGTGTCTTACAACAAATTAGAAGGAATGATTCCAACAGGTGGCCCTTTTGTTAACATTACTGCCCAATCTTTTCTTCACAACTCTGCTCTTTGTGGAGATCAAAGATTTCAAGTGCCTCCATGCATTGGAAATAATGTGAAGAATTCTAGACTAAAGAAAGTTGATCGGCTGGTGAAGTATATTGTGCCTCCATTCATTTCAGTTATCATCTTAGCAGCCATAATACTATTTGTGTTTGTGAGGACACAAAAACCAAAAAGAGGGCTTGCTCCTATTGATGATGTTCCGCTTGGTGTTACTTGGAGAAGAATCTCATACATAGAACTTGTTAGGGGAACTGACAACTTCAGCGAAACAAACTTACTTGGAAATGGCAGCTTTGGTTCGGTTTTCAAAGGGGTGCTTTCTGATGGACTAAATGTTGCAGTGAAAGTCCTCAACTCGCAATTAGAAAGAGCTATCCGCAGTTTTGATACGGAATGTGAAATACTTAGCAGCATTCGACACAGAAACTTGGTCCAAATAATTGGTTGTTGTAGCAACACAGAATTCAAAGCTTTGATTCTCGAGTTCATGCCAAATGGCAGCCTAGAGAAATGGCTGCACTTGGAAAATTGTGTCTTGGATTTGCTACCAAGGCTGCAAATTGCAATAGATGTTGCATTAGCCTTGGAATATCTCCACCATGGCCACACATTCCCAGTTGTTCATTGCGATATAAAGCCGAGTAATGTGGTGCTTGATGAGAATATGGTTGCCCACCTTTGTGATTTTGGTATAGCCAAGCTCTTTGATGATGGGGAGAATAATGTTCTTACGAAAACCTTGGGGACAATTGGTTACGCCGCACCAGGTAACATTCTTAATATATAATATCTTAATTCCTTAGTTATTATCTTTCTTTTCATTTCTTTATTCCTATTTTTCTGTTTCATTCTATAGTATTTATGGGTCAAATTGAAAATTCTAAACTAATCCAACGATAATGTTGTGCTTGTGATACAATTAGAGTATGGATCAGGAGGCAGAGTGTCAACAAGTGCAGACGTTTATAGTTATGGCATACTGTTGCTGGAAATGTTCACGAGCAAGAAGCCGACCGATGATATTTTCAATGAAGAGATGTGCATGAAGGAGTGGGTACTTGAAGCTTTACGAGAAAATGCAGTAGCTAAAATCGTGGGCACTCATTTGCTAGCAAGTGACGATCAACATTTTCATGCAAGGGAAGAATGTGTCTCTTCTATCTTTGGTTTGGCAATGAGATGTCTGGCTGTTATGCCCGATGAAAGGATCAACATGACGGAAACAACAACTACACTGCAGAGGATTAAAGCCAAAGTTGTGGCTGACACTACAAGTCGTCAACAATATGCATTGTCTATTATTTCGAGACGATAGGTATTGATATATAATAGGGCACGGTTTCCAATAGTATGTATATAGTGTGAAATAAAGACGGTGGCATACATGAACAATGGGATTTCTACTCGGGTTTAAGCTGTGACAGCAATACTATGTATAATATCAAACAAAACAAAACAAAAATATAACTAAGTCATCTTCATCTTTCCTAAGCATGCGAGTTTTCCACTTAGATCACATTCATATTCCTGTATATATATATTTTCATACCAAAATCTAAATTTAAGTAGAGCCCAGAGTAGTACCTTGGGGAAACAACCTAACCTCTTCAGAGTGAAGTTCTCAGGCAGGCTTGCCAGCTAGGAAGGGTCATGAGTCCATCCTCCTCGTCTCATCGAACTTGGATTGGGTCCGTATCTCAAGTCCGGCTCGGGTCAGGACCTAAGCGGTGTCCACAAATTTGAGCAAACTGCCAGAAAAAGGTTAAGATTCTATACACCAGAAACTAAATAATCATCAATTTTAAAAAATACAGATCGACAAATCATATCGCCACCCGATAGTTTCCAGCTTTAAATCGACAAAAATAAAGCACAAATCAAATATTCAAATTCAGCAGATGCCCAATCACAACGAAAACATACAAAAAGGGGAAAAAACAACAATCTGAACAAACTGAATTCCGATGCCATTAACAAGTATCATAATTATTGATACGCCCAATTAAAAAATGTGAATTGCTATTTACCGTTCCTTTTTACTAGTCACTGTCCTCAATTATGTTTTTGCCCTTCACACTCTCTCTACTTTTTTTCCTTTCAATTTTCTACACACTCTTTTAACCGTCAAAAAATTTTCAAAAAATACCAAAAAAATATCATATCGATAAGACATTGATGATTGACCATTTATTTTTTAATATTTTTTTACTTTGTAAATAATTTTTAATTTTTTTTTTACAATTTTTTTCGCGTCCGGTCGGCCGGGCCGGACGCAACCGTGTGCGTCCCACCGGCCGGACCGGACGCACCCGGTCGCGTCCGGCCTAAAAAGTAAAAAAATATAAAAAAAAAATACATTGTCAATCTTCAATGTCTTGCCGATGTCATGGTATTTTTTTGGTATTTTTTTAAAAAAAATTTTACGGTCAAAAGAGCCGTAGAAAATCGAAAGGAAAAAAAGTAGAGAGAGATGGTACTGAAGGGCAAAATCGTCCAAGGGGGCGCTGACTAGTAAAAAAGGAGGCGGTAAATAGTAATGCCCAAAAAAAAAATATGTTACACGTGAATATATATATTAAATAAATATATTTATAGGAGGTCTGAGCTGATTATTTAATATCAATTAAATCCCCAAATGTCCAGATCATCTATGCTCGAGCCGAACAAAATTAAATATCGAGAACATTTTGGGAAAAAAAAATATATCGAGAACATCCATCTTCGATAGACACAATAATTGTCAATAAAGTAGACGTCAATCGAAGACGTCAAGTGTTATGATTGAGCCTCGCGATGTCATCTCATATTAAATACTACTGTCCTTTCTTTTTATCTATTTTTTACTCCCACTTGTTAAAAAGGGGCTTATATGGTGATGAGAGAAAAAACAAAAAATGAGGGAGGTGTTATGAATTATTTGTTATAAAATAATATATGTGAATGACTATTTTACCCTCGATGTATTTGTATAATTACAAGTTGTGCCATCGAAAGTTTCCTATAAATAGGAGCTTAAGTTATAATGAAAAATGAACCTAAGAGAAACATTTTCTATATTCTCACTCTTTCTCTCTAGTTTTCTAACACGTTATCAGCACGAGTCTCTACCCTTCAGAGCTCGATTTGTAATATAACGAAAGTATGCCCTACAGTTGCGTCTTATAGATGATCTTCTGTATCAGAAATCATAATATTACAAATTGTTTTTTTATTAAAATTCTTTATCAAGAAAATCACTACCTTGTGAGTCTTCCGTCACAGAAAATTTCCAGCCAAGAGTTCAGTGAATAGATGCGAAAGAAAAAAGAAAATCAAGACTTCCCCCTCTCCACCCGTTCTCATATTTTTATCATTATATAAAGCTCATATAAAATCATGGATATTAATCACTTTTTACATTGATTATTAATATATGAAAAAAAAAAAAAATCTTGAAGTTGTCCCGGAATTGAGCCTCTCGGACGCCCGCCAGCTCCATCAATCCGAGCTCAGGGTCACCATCTCCAACTGCAGAAAACCTTAGGTTTGAGGCCTGTAAAATCAAGGAAAGAGAATTTGAAGAAAAGTATTAAGAGAAAGAAAAGAAGAGGAAAATAGAAGAAGAAGTGTGTAAGGAAAGGAGAAATAATGGGAGAAGAAAAAGAAAGAAAGAAAAAGTAGTTTACGGAAGAAAGCAGAAATGACTACACAAGTTGACATATGAAGACTTGCAAGGTAATTATTTATTAATTAATTATACAATCATTTTCCTTCATTTAATGTTCACATGCATTGTTATGGTGAAAATTATTTGATACATGAGCATGTGCATGTGCATATGTATATGTTGACTATTGTAATACTTGGTACATGGACATGTGGATACTTATGAATTGACCCATGTGATATGAAAATAATTATACGTGACTACAAGGACCGACCCGACAAGTAATATTTAATTGTTGAAATATTAAAAAATAATAATAATAATAAAATATGTGAGATGGCCGAACAATTAATTATCAAAAGAAGATCTGAACAACTAAGTGAATCGGTCAGTGTAGCAAATAATTATGACCGGTATGGCCAGATGATAAATATATTAATAATGATGACCGGTGATGGCCAAATGATAAGTGTATTTGTTAATTATAGCCGGTGATATGGAATGGTCATATGATAAGGCCATGTGCAACGAAATATGAATGACTATATATACATGGGTCGGCCAGTGCGGCTCTGCCACCGGCGACGGGCAATACAAATTAAGGGATAGTCGATGAATGAAATGAATGATACTTTGTATCTGGCCATGTGAAAGTTAATTAAAGTTCTGATCGTAAAAGAACATTATATGGAGTAATTTGATCCTGAAAGAATAGTTGATAAATTCTCAAAATTTATTGATGGCTGAGAAACGAATATTGATGAAGTAGTAGCAGAAGTTACTACTTAATGATTAAATGATATCTGGTATATTGGTATGGAAGCTACCATGTTATGATTAAAAAAAAAAAATGATAAAATGGTACCTGAAGCTACCATTAGAAAATTGAACAATTTGAGAAAGTGGTATCAAAAGCTACCAGTTATGGGTGATCACACGAAATGAGTTCTCAATATATTGTATGATTCTAAGGGAAGATTCTGATGACAAGATCACATTGATAATATGAGATCATATAAATATTACAATGATGTGCTCCAGGAGAAGCACACATGACAATAATTGTAGTCATGAAGCACTACACACTTCTTGTGGAAAAGCGAAATTGATATTATTATTAATGATAAATAAGTACGGAAAGTTCATATGGTGGAAATATGGAGAAGAGGCAGTACATACTCGATAAGTACGAAATACGAAAAATTACATAATAGAACCCATAAAAGAAGGGTGCGTCTCGAGAGTATAAAACTCCGTAACTCTGCCACCCATTATTAATATCTGGGTTCATAATGAGAGATCTAAAGAATCAAAAGCTCTTTTTCGCTTGACCCCTTGTGTTTCCACAGAATCTTGAAAAGTGATGCATTCTTGAAGCTTTTTGATAAGCTCAGCAGACGTATCTGCAGATTTGAATACTTCTCTCGTTGGAGAAGATATAAATGTTTGATATACTCCTTAGTCTAGAAATCCAAGCAAACCAGAAAAGAAGTTATTAAAATTCAATAGACCTATGGGTTTGTTATGAAGTTTCAATTCTGCCCAAGAAGCAAGAATGAACATTGTCATTAGCATTCCATAACCGCCTGGAAGAATGATAAATGCATCGCTCTTGTTCGCCATATCCATCAAACAGTCATAAATAGAATGAGTTAGCATCATGCATATGGAATCCTTGACGACCCTTGTTGAAGCTCTATGAAAAGGTATGATACTTTTCACTTCTATCTCAAAACATTTTCCAGCTAATAAAAGATTATCAAAGAAAGTGATGCTAGTCCCTCCATACAGTAAATTGATTTTTTGATTTCCCATATCCCTTACCAGCTGACTCACAAAATCAACATTTTGAGAAAAACTTACCAGTCTTGAACCACCAAGAACACATATGGTTTTGATCGGTTGAAGAAATTTATTACCTAGCGAAGACTCTGAAACATCCATCTATTCATTGATAAACTTAATTTTGAGAGGCATAAGATTATGATGAACGACTTGCTATTTAAAAGGAAAGATTTACAAAATAAATAATTTTACTGTTTCTTCTGACAATTGCAACTGACAGATAAGGTGTAGGGTCTTAAATAAATCTTATCTGTCGGCAGCTATAAGATACTTTGAAAATTACAGTACAACTACTAAACTTCATTAGTATGATTTTTCGTAATAACAAGACTAGTTTTACAAACTTGATCTTTTGAAACAATATTTTCGAGACTATAACGTTCTTCTTCATTTTTGAAATGAACCCATAAAGACAGAAGCTCACGATGCACATACCCACTAGAATGTGTCTCAAGAATCTGGTGAATCGTTTGATCCATAGACTCCTTACTCAATCCATCCTTTATAAATGCTATTTTATCTTCTCGATTTTTGGACACGAACCCCACTGATTTACATCGTGTGTCACAAGTCCATCGAGCACATTTGAAGCATCCACCTAATCGTTTTGCTCTTCGTTTCTTTGCAAAAGTACTCTTACCCATACCTGACATATATTTGTATGAATTTGAAAACTCTCCCGACAATCGAACTTTTGCTTCAATCAACCATCGAATATCGCCTGGAATATGATTAATCATTAGCACCCTCAATCTTTCTATTCGAGACCGATAAATTCTTTTTATGATATTTACTGGAACAAAAGAATAATATTTACGGATATT